GGAAACAAAGTCTTCTAAAATTTGTTTCCTTTCTTTTTGTTTTTTAAGATTTTATTTATTTATTCATGAGAGTCACAGAGAGAGAGAGGCAGAGACATAGGCAGAGGGAGAAGCAGGCTCCCTGCAGGGAGCCCGATGCAGGACCGATCCCAGGACCCTGGGATCATGTCCTGAGCCAAAGGCAGACACTCAACCACTCAGCCACCGGCATCCCTAAAATTTGTTTCTTAATAAATAGAATAGGAAGATCAACTCAAAACCAAGTTAGAAACAAGCTACAAGATGCAATGAATAAACTTAAAAATAAGTTGAAAGCACTTAAGACATGGCTTCCCCAGGGATCCCTGGGTGGCGCAGCGGTTTGGCGCCTGCCTTTGGCCCGGGGCGCGATCCTGGAGACCCGGGATCGAGTCCCACGTCGGGCTCCCGGTGCATGGAGCCTGCTTCTCCCTCTGCCTGTGTCTCTGCCTCTCTCTCTCTCTCTGTGACTATCATAAATAAATAAATAAAAATTAAAAAAAAAAAAAAGACATGGCTTCCCCAAAGAGAGAAGATAAAAAATAAAATAAAATCCTGAAATAAATGTCACATTTGTCATTAAGACCCATTAAAAGAGTCCCTGGGTGGCTCAGCTGGTTAAGCATCTGCTTCGGCTCAGGTCATGATCCCAGTATCCTGGGATGCAGTCTCACTTGGAGCTCTGTATCCAGCCGTCATTGAACCCCACATCAGGCTCCACACTCAGTGGGGAGTCTGCTTGTCCCTCTCCCTCTTCCCCTCCCCCTGCTCATTCTCTGTCTCTCTCACACAAAGAAATAAAATAAAGTCTTTTAAAAAATAAATGTTCTATTTTGGTAAAGTAAACATAACACAAAAAAACCATTTTAGCTATTTTGATCATTTTAAAGTATACATTTCAATGGTATTAAGCACATTCACCCTGTTGTGCAACCATCACCATCATCCATTTCCAGAACTTTTCATCTTTCCAAATTGAAACTCTGTAAACAACGAACATAACTCTGTATCTCCCTTCCTCCTAGCCCCTGACAACCACTATTCTACTTTCTTTTTCTGTGACTTTGCTCCATGTACCTCATCTAAGTAGAATCATACAGCATTTGTTATTGTGTGTCTGGCTTATTTCCCTTATCATAGTATCCTCAAGGTTCACCCATGCTATAGCCTGTATTAGAATTTCCTTCCTTTTCACAATTGAATAATATTCCATTGTGTGTATACACCACATTTTGTTTATCCATTTATCTACTGATGGATACTTGGGCTGCTTCCAGCTTTTGTTGTTGAGAATGAAGTTGCTGTGAACATGGGTGCACAAAGATCTGTTGGAGTCCCTGCTTTCTGTTCATTTGGAGGTCTACCTAAAAGAGGAACCACTGGATGTGGTGAAATTAGGAGTTTCAAACATGAACATGAGGGTGGGAAAGTGAGTTCGTTTGGGTATTCTGGAGAACTCTTGAATACTATCCTCTGTAGCTGACTATATGCCAAATCATGATGAAGCCATTCCATATCTACCATGAAGAAAAGTGCTGGTCCTTCTTATTTTCATTGAAAAATCATATTGGGGCACCTGGGTGGCTCAGTCAGTTAAGCATCTGTCTTTGGCTCAGGTCATGATCCCGAGGTCCTGGGATCGAGGCCCACATCTGGCTCCCTGCTCAGTGGGGAGTCTGCTTCTCCTTCTGCCTCTGCTACTCCCCCTGCTTGTGCTCTCTCTCTCACTCTCTCACAAATAAATATATAAAATCTTTAAAAAAAAGAAAAGAAAATTCATATCAAAATCATAAGTAAAAGCCCCAAACTGGAAACAAATGCAGTCATTGTATTTTAGAATAAACAACTGGAAGGATGTTCACACATGGAATACTAATTAAAAGCAAAAACAAGACTTACAAATGGGTGACAGACACATGGAAAAGTGCTCAACATTGCTCAGCATCAAGGAAATACAAATCAGAACCACAGTGAGATACCACCTCACACTCTCACACTGCTGGTGGGAAGGCAAGCTGGTGCAGCCACTCTGGAGAACAGTATGGAGGCTCCTCAAAAAGTTGAAAATAGAGCTACCCTACAGCCCAACAATTGCACTACTGGGTACTACTTAAGCCAAAGATACAAATGTAGTGATTTGAAGGGGCACTTGCACCCCAGTGTTTATAGCAGCAATGTCCACAATAGTCAAACTAGGGAAAGATCCCAGATATCCATCAACAGATGAATGGATAAAAAAGAAGTGGTATATCTATACAATGGAATACTACTCAGCCATCAAAAAGTAAAATCTTGCCATTTGCAATGACATGGATGGAACTAGGGGATCTTATGCTTAGGGAAATAAGTGAGTTAGAGAAAGACAATTATCATATGATCTCACTCACATGTGGGTTTTAAGAAACAAAACAGAGGATCATAGGGGAAGGAAGGGAAAAATAAATAAGACAAAATCAGAGAGGGAGACAAACTGTAAAAGACTCTTAAATCATAGGAAAAAACAGGGTTGCTGGAGGGGAGGTGAGTGGGGGTATGGAGTAACTGGGTAGTGTAATGAGCACTGGGTGTTATATAAGACTGATGAATCATTGACCTCTACCTCTGAATAGTACACTATATGTTAATTCATTGAATTTAAATAAAATAAAAAAATAAAAGCAAAAACATACTGAAACCAAAAATGAATTTTTGATACGTGTAACAACATGGATAAATCTGAAAAATGTAAAACTGGAAGAAAGAAGTCAGACCCTAAAGAACATATAACATTTGAGGCCACTTACACAGTACACAAACCTGAGAGTACAGATCTGTATTTAAAAAAAAGAGGGATTCAGTACTTCTGTGACCATGTTGATTTGAAGGAGCCCAAAGAAAGCCCAATACTTTCAGCATGGCATTCAAGTTTCCAAATTTCTTTCTTTCTTTCTTTCTTTCTTTCTTTCTTTCTTTCTTTCTTTCTTTCTTTCTTCTTTCTTCTTTCTCTTTCTTTCTTTCTTTCTTTCTTTCTTTCTTTCTTTCTTTCTTTCATGTTTTACTTATTTATTTAACAGAGAGAGAGCACAAGTAGGGGGAGAGGCAGGCAGAAGGAGTGGGAGAAGGGAGCCTGACAAGGGGCTTGATCCCAGCACCCTGAGATCATGATCTGAACCAAAGGCAGACACTTAACCTACTGAGCCACCCAGGTCCTTCAAGTCTCCAAAATTTCTGACCTTGCCTTCTCTCCCGCCATGATCATGTCCATTGTGCTGCTGGTTCTTCCTGCCAAGTTATAGGTATAAGAGCGCTTCCTCTCATCTGCCAGCCTGTCTCCATCCTTGGCACATCTCCACTGGAGCTGCCTGCCCACTGCCCATCCCTCCTGCCTCAATGGTAGGTCCTGACCTCCAGGGGTAGGGGGAAAGAATCTGTGCATTGAACTTGGTGGTGGAAGCAAGGGTGTGCATATAGGTAAACATTCATCTAGTTGCATTCCTTAGATTTGGTTATTTAATCAATTTAAGTTAGGCTTTGAAACACAATAAACTGAAAGTCTGCTTTGGAACATGTTCAACAAAAAAGAATAGAAGATTAAGATATAATTTTGCTTGAGAAACTTCCACATGGGCATTAAATAGTAAAATCAATTTGTATGTTGCATTTTTTTAAAAAAATTATTTATTCATGAGAGACACAGAGAGAGAGAGAGGCAGAGACACAGGCAGAGGGAGAAGCAGGCTCCATGCACCGGGAGCCCAACGTGGGACTTGATCCCGGGACCCCAGGACCACGCTGTGGGTCAAAGGCAGGCACTAAACCACCGAGCCACCCAGAGATCCCCTGTATGTTGCATTTTTTTTGTTGCATTTTTAATAAAGCTTTCATTTGTAATTAAATGTGAGGGTTTATAGCGATTACTGGGAGGTAGGCGTCTTTCATCTGGGAAAGAAAAGCTGTACTCCTGACTTACCGTGCACTGATGTCTACACTGAGAGGGAGGTTTGGGAGACCAGAAACACAGGGGTTAAGCAGATAACTTCTGGGTCATGGGAAGTAAGCCCCCAACTCCCTTGGCAGGGGCAGGGCTGGGTATGGAGAGGAGGAGGGGCGAGAGAGGTGGGGTGGGCAGTACTGGAAAGGGGAGGCAGGTTAAACAGATGGAGTCTGGCATAGGCAGAAACAAGGGGCATCAGTGGGGGTGTGTATTAGTCAGATTTTTTATTTCCTGTATCTTAAAAAGCTTGCTGTCCGGGGAGAGACCACCCCTCCCAGGATCAGCCAGTTCTTCAAGATGGCAAAGTGCTCTGCCAGGAGCACATCTTTCACATCAAACCAACCAATCCCCAGCCAGGGTCCCACAAATACCCCCTTTTCTCTCTGTCTCTAACTTACACACTAGACCACCATCTCCCCTGCCCTAAATCACCCAGGACAGGGGCCAGACAACTAGAACCACCCCTCTGGGCCAAAGTCCCCCAGAATCACTCAAACTAGCTGATCCTGAACAACTCTCCAGGCCTTGCCTTTCCCACAGAAACCCTGTGGGAATGCTCCTGCAAGGCTTCCCCTGCACCTGCTTCTGCCTCCCATCCAGAACGTGGTGCTTACAGATCCCCTGTGGCCCTGCGTGGCCTGGCACGCCACATTTCCTCGGGAAACATAAGTAGTAACTTCTTCTGATGGTGTTGGCCAGGGCATGCCATCACTCATTCACTTCCCCAAATTAAACTCCCAGGGGTACAACTGAGAAGGTTTTGGTTGAGAGGTTCCAAAGAGAAGCTGGCTATGATGTCCCCATATCTGCCCCCTGGGCTCCAGGTCACTCCCGTCTTGAGAAGAAGGAAGCCTCTGTCAGTCCCTCCGCCTCACTCTCTGGGGCCTCCACACCTGCAGAACTGACACAGGTCTCCAATCAGAGAGCCGCCACCACTTTAATTCCAACTCTAGCAGGTGGGGGGGGGGGCAGGGGGACAGCTCAGCCCCGCCTGGAGTGCAGGGGCCCATCAGCAGACTTCCCTGGAGAGGGACAGGCCCATGCACCAGCTGAGGAGGAAGCCAGCCCCCATGAGGGCCCCTCTGATCAGGGTGAGGACCGGGGCCAGGAGCTCTCCTGTTCTTCAATCACACAGTTGCAGGAAGAGGGGCTTCCTGAAGAAGGGGGTACAGAGGATGAAGTTCTGTCCCCAAGCCCCAGGCCCTTCCACACTCCAAACACCTGATCAGGCTGTCCACCCCCAGAACCTTATTACAACTTTGCACAGAGAGGCTGAAGGAAATGTGCTAGAAGCCCAGTGGGTGCTGAGCCTGGCAGGTGAATTCCCCTTCATCTTCAAACCCTACATGGGGCAGCTCCAGGACCCCTGGTGCTGAGGATTGGGAGGGGCTCAGGGCTTTTCCTTCCCAGGACCAACTCAGCATGGCAGGGGGGCTGCTGTCAGCACTGCAGACCAGAGGCAGGTATTGGCCCTTCAAGACAGGCAGTGACAAGTGGTTGGTCAGGGTCTTCAGGACTGGGTAAGATATTTACCACTTTGAGGGTGGAACTGAGAGATCTGTCTCTTCCTCATCTTCCCACAGAGCCAGCAGTGAAAAGACAGGTCATGTGACAAGAGCTAAGAGGGTAGGCAAATCATGCCTGAAGGGGCAATGACCCTGGTGGTTGAGTCAGGCCACCAGAAGGAAGGGGGCTGGGACACCTGGGTGGCTCAGTGGTTGAGTGTCTGCCTTTGTGGCTCAGATATTGATTACTGGGTCCTGGGATTGAGTCCCACATCGGGGTCCCCACAGGGAGCCTCCTTCTCCCTCTGCCTATGTCTCAGCCTCTCTCTCTGTCTCTTATGAATAAATAAATAAAATCTTTAAAAAAAAAAAAAGAAGGAAGAGGGCTGCACTGAAGTGGGGAGGGTGAGTGGTGGGTGGGCAGCTCTGGCAGAGATGAGTCCAGAATGGAGACAGGCTGGCAGATGAGGAGAAGTGCTCTTGTACCTATAATTTGGCAGGGAGGACTGGGAGCACAAGAGACATGATCAGGGTGGGAGAGAAGGCAGGATCAGAAATTTTGGAGCTTTGAGTGCCAGGCTCAGGGCATTGGGCTTTGCCCTGAGGTTACTGAGAAGCAGCAGGGGATATGAATAGGGAAAATGCAGAATCATGCTGGGTCTAGAAAGATCATGCTGGGGCCAAGTGGGGACCTGTGCCAGAGAGAGTAAACAGGAGGCAAGGAGGCTGAGGAAGAGGCTGAGGCAATGGTCCAGGGTCCAGGATAAGATTGGAGCTGGGTCTGGGGCCAAAGGCAAGAAAAGAAATGATTTGGGAAACGAAGTTCTAGAGACTCACTGACTCATGGAGTGCAGCTGGTGAGAAGAGGAGTTATCTAGCCTCCTGTCCAGACCATCCCCTAAAGATAAGTAGCAGAAGCAGGGACAGTTGAGAGGCATGAGCAAGAGACAGCTACCTGTGCAGATCTGTGGCCGAATAGAAAGTTGTGGAAGACACAGGAGAGGGATGGGGGTCACAGGTGAAGGCTTGGGACAGGATGAGGAGGCCCAGCAAAGTGGGTGTCCAGGGTGGGGCTACAGGGAATGGGAAAGATCAGTGATGAAGGAGGGCAGATGGAAATTTAAGTGCAGGGAGCAGAACCCGGAGCAGTCAAAATCAGAGACAGAACAAGGTGGAAGGGTGGCTGCCAGGGGCTGGGTAGTCAGTGGGTGATGGGCACGGAGTTTCAGTTCTGCAAGATGGAGAGAGCTCTGCAGACCCACTGCACAACACTGTGAAAGCCCTCCACACCGCTGAGCTCTAGCCTTAAACATGGTGAAGACAGTAAGTGTTATGTTGTATCTGTCTTATTACAATTAAACAAACTCTAAAGCTAATGAAAAAAGGAAGGAGGTCAAAAGGTACCAACTTCCAGTTATAAAATCAGTAAGTCACGGAATGTAACGTGCAGCGCGGTGACTACAGTTAATCGCGCTGTGTTGTATACTTGAAAGTTGCTAAGGGGGTAGATCTTAGATGTTCTCATCACAAGAAAAAAAACTTTGTAACTGTGGTGAGGGGTGTTAAGTAGACTTATTGTGATGATCCGTTTTGCAATACACACAAATACCAAAACATGTTGTACACCTGAAACCAATACACTGGTATGTGTCGATTAGAACTCAATTAAAATAAAACATACATAACACACACAGGCTAGAGCAAAGAAGCAGCAGCAGCCAGAAGCAATCCTGGGTGCACCTGGGAGACACCGGTGAGGTGGGTAGGGGCAGGTACAGACCCGGGGGCTGAGGAGGGAGGGAGGGTTTCATCCCCAAGCCCTGAGCCCTGTGCTGGCAGACCCTGCTCCCATCACAGTCCCAGGGAATAGAGTGTCTTTCCTACCTGTGTAGTTTCCCTGAAAAAATGTGGGTGGTCATCAATTGTAGAGCGTCTGAGAATGAAAGATGTGATGAGGGGCAGGGTGGGCTTTTGCCCTTTACAGGAGCTCCTTAAGTGAAGGGATGGGGCTTTCCAGCTTCCCCCCAATCTCCTTCAGAAAAAAGATTCCAGGACTGACTTCTCCTTCCCCCACTGCCCTGAGGGATCCAGGCATCCCTCCAGCACTCACAGGACACATTGAGCCTGATGGTTCTCTCCACGGTGCTCTGAGCTCCTGGCAGGGACACACCACAGGTGAGGTTGCTGCCATGGTCCTGCAGCCTCAGGGTGAGGGTCAGCACTAAGGAGGACAGGGTCTGGGGGTCCAGCCGGTCCAGAGCACCCCCTACCCAGGAGAAGGTGAGAGGTCTTCCCCCTTTGCAGAATCCCGGCAGACTGCAGGTCAGCTTTTGGGGGAAGCCAGACTTCAGGGGCTCCAGAAAGTGGGTGTCTGGTTTCTGTGTCAGGGCTGAGGAGGAGAGAGGGAGGTGCCTGGGCCCTGGGCTAGTGGGTACCCAGAGTGTGACCCTGAGAGGGACCAGGGCCTCAGGGTACAAGCTGACCCCAGGCCCCCATATCTCTTCCCACCATCCTAACCCCCAGACCTGGAGCAGGGAATGTTCCAGTATCCTGTTCCTGTTCTAAGATGGGGGTTTCCAGGTCCCAGAGCCCTCTCCTGAGGCCACTGCCATACCTGCCACCTTCAGGGTCGGCTTCTTATCTCTGTAAGTATATCTCACATTCTCTCTCTCCACTCGGAATTGGTAGACTCCCTGGTCACTTGTCCTGGCCTCTCTGATTCTCAGGGAGCAGTTGCTGTCAAGGGGTTCCCGATGAGGTGGAATCAGTCCTGGGTCTCTGTCTTCACCTTTATCCTTCAGTTATTTGTAGCCACAGGCTGGGAATTGTATATGTTGTCCCGATCCCGGAACCAGTACATATATGGGATCCCAGGGGAAGACCACCAGCTCCAGGGGTAGGAGAAAGAGCAGGGCACATCTGCACACAGACCCTCCTGCACTGTTACTGATTCCTGCACTCGGAGCTCATACTGTGTATCCTCCTGCAGGGACCCTGGGGGGACACAAAGGCTCGGCGGTGGGTCCAGCCCACTCCCACCTGTGCCCAACCCCCTTTTCTTGGCCCACTTACCCCCCCCACAGCAGGGGCAGCAGCAGCAGGGGTAGCATGTCTGCAGCCACCAGGGCAAGAACATGGGTGTAGATCCCTCTGTCAGGGAAGGAAATGCCCTGAAGGAGGGGGTGAGGCCGAGGAAGCCCCAACAGGAAGCAGTGTGTGACAGAGCTGTGGTCACCATGGATGGGGAACTTGGGCAGCAGGGGCCATGGTAGGGGGGTGAGGTGAGGGCTAAATCATCCCATTTCACCTCTGTCATTTGCAGGTGGAGCCTGTGAGCTACTGAGATGGTGAGAGGCTTGTCTAGGGGGATAAGGCCCCAGAACTGCAGTCCTTTCTCATACACCTTAGGTTTTCTTTTCTTTTCTTATTTATTTTGGGGGGTGGCACAAGCAGAGGGAGGGGCTGAGGGAGAGAGAGAAGCAGACTCCCCAGTGAGTGGGGAGAAGGAGGTGGGGTTCTATCCCAGGAACCCGGGATCATGACCTGAGCTGAAGACAAATGCTAATGGACTGAGCCACTCAGGCACCCCTCCTCATGCACCATGTTTGCACAGGGAAGAGAACACTACCTGACCAGCTCCCTGGCATCAGAGCCTCTGGGCGCTGGAAGAGATCAGAAGCAAATGCATTATCACATGATGGAGCTCTAAGGAGAGGCTCCCAGGCTGAGGGGCCAGGTGGCAGGGTCTGCCCCTCTGTCAGAAGGTAAGTTCTCAGGGACAATTACATCAGGTAGACGTGACTTGGTCCACAGTAGTTACAAGAGATGTGGTTCCCACCAGTGACCCTGGGGCCTCCTGACTCCATGGGTTTGGGTCCCCCTTCCCACCACTGTGCTCATGCCAGGCAGCTTCAGACTCTGGCCTTGGTGTTGACGCAGTATTGACCTGAGAGTGGGGCACTTGGAAGGTAGTAGTGACCGGGCTTAGGACAGTGTCTGGCACTGAGCATTAATTCATCCAAATGATCAAAATGATGTTTCCTGGACACCTTGCATATGCCAGGCCCTATTTTAAGGCTGGAGATACAGCAAAGGGTCAGCTCTGAGGATGGAAAATAGGAGTCAGAAACTAGTTAGAAGATAAACAGTTAATAAAAAAATTAAAATGCACTATCTCTTAGAGAGTGATATCTTTTAAGGGGGAAAAAAAAACCCAAACAGTAAAACAGAAGAGGAATCTTTGAAGATTGCTGAAATTTAAAAAAAAAAAATGTACCTTCTCACAGAGAAGGTGACATCTGAGTGAAGACACAGAAGAAGCGAGAAAGAGCCTGTGGGCATCCACAATAAAGGAACCGGTTATGAAGGAAGAGTGCACACAGAAGTCCTATGTGGGAATAGATGTGGTGTGTTGACAGACAGCTGGATGACAGCGTAGCAGAGTGAGCCATGGGGAATATGGGAAGGAGACGAGGTCTGGGAGGTACCTCAGGTCAGTTTCTGAAGAGCTCTGGAGGCTACTGTAAGAACTTGACTTCTACTCCAGGTGTATTAGTCAAGGTTCTCCAGAACCCAGAGGATCACATCCTTTGCATAGACACAGAAATCTATTGTAAGGAATTGGCTCCTGTGATTATGGAGGTTGACAAGTCCCAAGATATGCAGTTGGCAAGCTGGAGACCCAAGACATCTGAGGGTGAGTTTCAGTCTGGAGACCAGCTGGCTTGAGACACAAGAAGAGCTGACATTTCAGTTCAAGTCCAATGGCACAGAAAAACTGATTCCTAGCTCAAAGGCAGTGAAACAGGAAGAGTTCCCCTTACAGGTAGAAGGGTCAACCCTTCTCTTCTATGCAGGCCTTCAACTGATTGGATCAGGATGACTACACTGGGAAGGACAATCTGCTTTACTCAATCTACTGATTTAAATCATTGGCCATTGGTGATTTACTCATTTTCCAGCCCCTCTGGGCTCTCTAGAGGTCAAAGGAGCAGGACTGAAAGTCCCAACATTTCACTCAAAGGTTGATTCCCTTAAAAACCAGCCCCCACTCCCAAAAGCTATCCCAAAGTCGCTTTATTAACATAACAAAACACACCTTTATTGCTTTCATCACTTAGTAAATTCCAAGGGTTTTAGGAGCTCTGTGCCAGAAGCCTGACTGGGAGGACCAAATATACATATTTCTTATTATAAATCACAAGTGCAGAGGGATGGCAGTACAGAACTTGAACTGAAAAGGAACAGGGTGTGATTTGCTATTCCCTGACCCCTTGCTTGCTGGACGGAGCCCAGACTCCTCCAGGGCTGTTGTGGTGCCCGGGTTGTGAGATGGGAGCGCCAGGGTCTGAGTGGACATGGTGGATTGGCGGAAAGCTGATGGCTCGCAGTATTTCTTGGTGCATCAGATGCATATTGACAGAGAAAGAGAAAGATCAACAACACCGATGTGTTTCTCCTGAGTGGTTGCAAGCTCCAAACTGCCATTGCTGGAAAAGGGAAAGCCTTGAAGAGAATTTTTTTTTAAGATTTTATTCATTTATTCTTAAGAGACAGAGAGAGGCAGAGACATAGGCAGAGGGAGAAGCAGGGTCCCTGCAAGGAGCCCGATGCAGGACTTGATTCCAGGGCCCCAGGATCACGCCCTGAGCTGAAGACAGACGCTCAACCACAGAGCCACACAGGTGTCCCTTGAAGAGATTTTTAAAGAGGAAAATCAGGAGCTCAATTTCAGACATGTTGGGTTAGAGATGCATGTTTGACATATAAGTGGAAAATCAACAGAATATTTGCTCTGTGGGTCTGTAGTTTAGAAAAAGTTCCAGCTAGACCCATGAACTTGGAGTGCCACCACACAGATCGTATTTAACCATGGGCCTGAGTGAGATCACACATGGCATGAGCTAAAACAGAGAGGAGGTGAGAACCATCTCCATTGGGCATCAAACCAACCTGTCTGCTGAAAACAGCCAAACCCTGAGGGAAAATCATGGTAAATCTGAAAACCACTGAAGGGCTGACAAGAGAATTTTCACTGTGAAACTGAGGACAGGCTAGAAACCCAGATAGGGAACAGAGGCACCAAAGCTACACATTTCCTGAGAGAATTTTTTTTCTCTTTTTTAGATTTTATTTATTTATTCATGAGAGACACAGAGAGAGGCAGAGACATAGGTCCAATGGGGGACTCCATCCCAGGACCACAGAATCACAACCTGAGCCGAAGGCAGATGCTCAACCACTGAGCCACCCAGTTGCCCATCCTTGAGGGAATTTTGAACATGGATTTGGGACTTAACGGTCCTGAGGATCAAAGTCAGACTGTATGTCAGGTGGGGAAGGCTCAGGACCTGTGTGCATATCCAACTCCCTGCACACCCCCAGGCTCTTTCTGGGGACAAGCTGGAGCAGGGCAACCCCACTCCGCCCTCTGGGGTTATCCCGTCATTAGCAGAGAGGGCAGAAGCATCTCTAGGCTGGGGGTCCAGACCCTGCCCTTCCTGCTCTGACTCATCTATTAGGAATGTGAATACAGACAAGACCCATGAGTGGGAAGGAAGCTCCTGTCAGAGACCACAATATATAGATATAAGGACCCTGCTTGAACAGAAAAGGAAGTTTCCCCATAGCATTTCCAAGGAAGGATGAAGCCAGACCCGACAACCACCAGGCCCACAGGACATGGACTGATGGGAAGCCTCTGTCCCAGCCTGAGGGTTCAGCAGCCCTCTGAGGGCACCTAGGTGGGTGCGGATAACAAGTTCTCAGGGTGAGATCTGCACCTCCAAGCTTCAATCCAACCCATACATCTTATAGCCCTAGGAAAGCTTGTCCTCACTCCCACTGCCTCCCCTACATTCCCAGATTCTCCGGGGTTCCCTCATGACTGTCTTCCTATGGTATTGTTTTATTGTTGGTTGGTTGGTTGGTTGGTTGGTTTTTTGACTGTCCAGACCCTGGTTTTACCTCAAAGCAGCATCTTGGGGCACCTGGGTGATTCAATTGCTTGGGTGTCCAACTCTTGGTTTCAGCTCCTGTCATGATCTCAGGGTCATGGCATCGAGCACCACATTGGATTCCTCACTCAGTGACGAGTCTGCTTGAGATTCTCCCTCTGCCCCTCCCCCTGCTCTTGTGCACTCTCTCTCTAAAATAAATACATAAATGTTAAAAAGAATTTAAGTAACATCTTGATTTCTTTTTGGAGAATGATCATTCTCCCATCATCAACCCCATTCTCTACTTCAGGGGTGAGCCTATGAGCCAACACTGATCAGTTGGCATATTTTATCACTGATAACACCCATGATCAACTTATTAGCTCCTGGATGTGCCTATATCTATTTTCCTCTAAAGAGTTTCTAGGACTTTTGCTCTACCTTTGGGAAAAATAGCTGCCCTCCTTTACCTGGGGTCTTTGAATGGGGAAGAGTCAAGCCTGGAGCTGTCAGAGCCCAATACCAGGCTAGAGCCTGCCTGAGAACAATGCCAACAGATGAAAGCAGAGCGACAAGGGGTAGCAAATTTTTATAAAGGATTTCGGTGACATTGACTAAGCTCTAGAACCCTCTGTGCCAGAAGCCAGTGTATTTCAAAACTCTTCATATAACAAAGTGTGATACTGTGATTTATAATAAGAAATATATATTTGGTTATTGTCCCAGTTCCTGGCACAAATGTCCTAAAACACTTGGATTTCTTAAGTGATGAGAGCAGATAAAGGTGCCTTTTGCTGTGTTAACAAGGTAACTTGGAAAACACCTAAGGATGGGGGCTGGTTGCCAGGGGAAACAACCATACTATTAGAATGTTGGGACTTGGGGCGCATGGTGGCTCATTGGTTAAGCATCTGCCTTCACTTCAGGTTATGATCCTGGGGTCCTGGGATGGAGTCCCATATTGGGCTCCCCGCAGGGACCCTGCTTCTCCCTTTGCCTATGTCTCTGCCTCTGTCTGTGTCTCTCATGAATAAATAAATAAAATCTCAAAAAAAAAAAAAAAAAAAAAAGAAAGAAAGAATGCTGGGACTTCCAGGAAGGGGAAAGGAGCTGTAGGTCAAATTCAAATGCCAAGGGCCAATGATTTAAGCACTCAAGCCTATATAATGTAG